AAAAAAGCAGTTGGGATTCTAGTAGGGATTGCATTGAGTCTATTACTTTGCAGGGACAATTGCCATCTTAACAATGTTAAATCTTCTGATCCATTAATGTGAGATGCCTTTACATTTATTTATGTTTTCTTTAACTTCTTTTAGCAGTGTTTTGTAGTTTTCAGTGTACAGGTTTTTTACCTGCTGGGTTAAATTTATTCTAGGTTTTTATTTTATTATTTTGATGCTTTTGTAAATGGAGTTGTTTTCCTAATTTCCTTTTCAGGTTGTTCATTGCTGGTGTGTAGAAACACCAACTGATTTTTGTGTGTTGATCTGTACCTTAAAACTTTGGTGCATTTGTATATTAGCTTTAGTAGTTGTTTTGTGGGTTTGTTTTTGGTATTTTCTACATGTAGGATCATGTCATTCACTAATAGAGATAGTCTTACTTCTTCCTATCCAATCTGGATGCCTTTTATTTCTTTTTCTTGCCTAAGTGCCCTGGCTAGCACCTCGAGGATTGAATGGCAGTGGTGAGAGTGGGCATCCTTGTCTTCTTCCTGACCTTATGAGAAAGCCTTCAAGTCTTTCACCATGAAATGAGATGTTAGCTGTAGATTTTTCAAAGTTGCCCTTTCTCAGGTTGAGGAAGTTTCCTTCCAGTTTCTTGGATCTTTTTATCATGAGACATTAAGTTTTTAAAAGCTTTGGCATACTTTTTAATATAGAAACTTTTGCATGTGTTTTATTCTGACCAGTGCTGATTCCTAAAGAAAAACCCCCAATCACAGTTGTTGGTGATGTAGGAGGGAGGATCGCCATCATTGTGGTATGTAGACCTCTCATTATTATTCATTTGATATTTATCATTGTAACCTGTTGACTTGTTTTAATTGTGTGGGGATCATGGTATGGCCAGGTGAGTGTTACTGAAATTGCTGTCTTGGGCTAAATGTTTACTTTGGTCCAAAAACTGAAAATTGTTTTCATTAGTTTATCAAGAAATTAACTACTTAGTTAACTAAATTTCATACAGATGTTTGTCATAACATGGGAAATTGTGTTGTGATCAAAGTAGAGTACAAAACTGATTATAACTTTAAAACTCATATCCTTTCACACTTCACAAAACTAGTGCACAAAAGGAGCACGTTTGAAGAATAAAATGATCATGTGGGTAACTGCTACTCAGCTTGGAAACAGAGCAGAGTACCCTTGAAGCCACTTCTGGGCTTTTCCCTGGCTTCTGTACCCCCACTTCTGATCATTAGCCTGAAAGTCATCATTCATGTCCTTACTTATATTTACAATCCACCATGAGTGATGGGTCCCTATATGCCATATTTTTCTGTTTTGCATGCTTTTGATGTTTATATAATACAACCTTTGTGTACTTTGTAACTTTTATTTTGAGATTTCTCCATGTAGTATCATGTAGCTGTCCCATCATTATTTCTTGCTCCTCTCTGGTGTTCATGTATAACTGTTACGCAGTTTGTTTATCTGTTCTCTGGGCATTGAGCATAACAGTTTTTCTATTTCCACTGCTTTGAACAATCCTGCCCCTGATTTCCAGGGCATACATGCAAGAGTTTCTAGGTGCTTGGGAGTGGAATTGCACCTAGGAGTGAAGGTACACATGTCATCAGCTTTACTAGGTGGTGCCAGGTTGTTCCCAAAGTGGTTGCACAGTTTACCAAGCCCCCATGGGGGGTTAGGGGGCACCTTCTCCCCAGAGCTTTCATTTACGTTTTCAAGTTAGTCTCTGACGTTACCCTACAGGGTAATAGCTGTCCATTAATTTATTCCTTAACCAGCAAAATCTGTAGTTATAAGATGTTATAAATTCAGTAGTACTTTTTTCTCCATTCCTATTGCACCTTTCCCTTTTTAACTTCCTACTGCATTTAAAATAACATACACCTCTATATTTTGAAGTAATTATAGACTCAAAGGAAGTAGCCAAAACAAAAGTACAGGAAGGTCTTGCAGACTCTCACCCAGTGTCTTCCTCCTTGCTTACCTGTAGTGCTGTGACAGTCTAGAAATCCACATCGCCACAAGCCACAGAGCTGCTTCTGATAGCACGTGTTATGCGGGTGTGGATAGCTGTGTTAATCTTACCATGCATCTAGCTTTGTGTGACCACCACTAGCATCAGGGTACAGAACTGTCCCACCACCACAAAGCTCCCTCAGGCTGCCCCTTTATAGCCGCATCCACCTGGTCCCTAACTTGTGGCAGTCACCAGTCTGTCCTTTCTGTAATTGTTATTTCAAGAACATCATATGAATGGGATATACAGTATGTAACCTTTTTAACATGATTTTTTCCCCTTATCATGATCTGGAGGTCCACCCAGGTGGTTGTGTGTGTGAGTGAATAGTCCAGTCCTCCTGCCAAGCAGTGTTCCGTGTGCGGGTGGTTTAACCACTCACCTGCTGAAGTTCATTTGAGTTATTCCCTGTTTTCTGCTGTTAGAAATGAAATGGCTCTCCACATTTGTGTATGGTTTTTGTGTGAACAGAGTTTTAATTTTTCTGGGATAAATGAGCAAAAGTGTAATTGTTGGGTTGCATAGTAATTGTAGGTTTGTAAGTTTTATGTGTGTTTATAACTTACAGTTTCATAAGAACTTGTCAAACTGTTTTTCAGAGTGTCTGTAGCATTTTATTAGCACTTTTAAAGTAATGGATTTTTTTCTTTGATCATAGTAATATCAGTGCACATTTGAGAAGAATAATATATGTATATAAATTTAATACATGAATATTTATTCAGGTCTAGACAATGCTTGATAGTCTAATAGGCTTAAAATAACTTTGGTAATCTGGGTGTAAAGGAAACAGACGGGAAAGAAAAGCTCTCCTGTGTATTTCCTTTACTACCCACACAAATACTTCTGGTCACCAAATGTACAGAGGTTTTTGCCACATTTGTCCTCCAGTTTAACTCAGCTATGACACTGTTTACGCAAAGACAGCATCAGTTCCCACAGGTTAAGGGCTCAGTCCCACAAGACTGCTCCCACCCCACTTCACAAATGGGAGGTTCCCATGACCCCCTCCTCAGGTTCAATTAATTTGCTAGAGCAGCTCACAAAGCTCAGAGAAACGCTCATGTTACCAGCCTACTAAAGGACATGGTAAAGGACACACACGAAGAGCCCCGTGAGGGAGGTGCACAGGACAAGGTCTGGGAGGGCACTGAGCACAGGCTCTTTCGTCCCCATGAAGCAGGGGTGCACTTCCCTCCCTGTACACCGTGTGCTTGCCAACATGGACACCCTCCGACCCTATACGTTCAGGGTTTTTATGGAGGCTCCTCATGTGGGCATGATTGGTCATTAACCCCATTTCTAGCCTCTCTCCCCTTGCTAGAGGAAAGGGGGTGGGGCTGAAAATTCCAAGCTTCTAATCAAGGCTGGTCTTCCTGGTGACCAGGCCCCACCCTGGAGCCATCCTGGCGCCCAGCCAGAGCTGTCTCATTAGGACAAAGGCTGCTCCTCGTGCTCTTGTCCCTTAGGAATTTATGGGTGCTTTAGGAGCCCTGTGTCAGGGACGGGGTCAAAAGGCAAATATTACAGCTAGAGCTGCTCCTCGTGTTCTTGGCCCTTAGGCATTTACGAGGGTCTTAGGAGCCCTGTGCTGGGAGTGAGGGGCAGAGACCTACATATTTCTCACACTGGGTGAGGTTAACACAGTTACATCACACTGGGAATCTGTGGTCCATAGATCGGAAATCACTGGACTGGGTATTTTGTTAAAACTAATAATTATTGTTTTTCCCATTATAAAAACACATGTAAAAAGCATATTTCCTATATGTTGCATGGAGAAATTCCAGGAAATAAGGAAAAGTAGCAAGAAAAGGGGAAAGAACCGTACAGCTGAAATCCTCTCCTGCAGGCTTTGCTGTGTGTCAGCCAGACCCGCTCACCAGGCGCCTCTGGAACGCCCGGGCTGCAGGGACATGAGACGGGCCCCAGGGCCTCGAGTGCAGAGAGACAGCCTGTAAGGGACGGGAGCCGGCTGAGGAGGCCAGCTGCAGATGGCGGGGGCACAGGGCCGGGTGACCCTGCTGTCTGGACATGTTGAGTGGAACAGCAAATTTGTCAGAGTAGAATTAAACCCTTTCTTCTCCCTAGTCGTCTAAACTCACCTTTGCCAAAGTGTTATGAACCTTTTGCTCAATCTGTGATTTGACAGGATGACATTATCGATGACGTTGACAGCTTTCTTGCTGCAGCAGAGACGCTGAAGGAAAGAGGTGCATATAAGATCTTCGTGATGGCAACTCATGGCTTGTTATCTTCAGATGCTCCCCGGCTGATTGAGGAATCTGCCATTGATGAGGTAACAGAGGCAGGCTGTGTGTGAGCATGGTGCCCTGGTGCTGGTGTGCCTCCTGATCTGTAGTCCCAGAGTAGATGAAGAATGAGCTACTTTGTAGCTAAGAATGGATTCAAAACATGGGTTATATTTGTGTTTCATTGACGGTAAGCTTCTGTCTTTTGCCCATGGTAATAGTTAATAGTTTTAATAATGCATAAATGGAGCACGTGGTCCCTGCCCATACCACCTGGTGCTGTGCACACACCCCCTCCCAAACTCCCATCAGAGCCCTGCAGGGCCCTTGTTGTGACCCTTTTAGAGAGGTGAGAAATTGTGCATCAGAAAGTTTAGTGACTTCCTAAGGTCAGAGCCACAGGCAAGGCACTGGCATTCAGGCCTTAGTTTGCCTGATGCCAGTGCCCACCCCTCTTTCTGGTCCAGACGCCTGTGGTAGGAAATCTGGGAGGGGAAGGCAAACAGGGCAACTTCTCCTAAGCCGCCTGTAGCTCCCAGTGTGACTGAAGTGAGGCTGTCCAGATTTATTTGTCCTGCTTTGTCCACCTGTCATTCCAGCGACCAGCCAACCAGCCCGGGGTTTGATTGTATGCCACATTTTTATTATCTCTTAAGAGATAAAAGTGCTCTCCCTGTGTATTCCTGATATTGAATCTGAAATTAGTGAAACTCCTCTTACCTTTTTGAGTCCCAAATCTTCACTCTTCAGCAGGTGATCTCCTTGAGCCTGGCCCTTTGTTTATCATCTTCGATGGGTTCAAGATGCCTTAGCACAGACAAAAGGGCACACTTGCATGGCTCCAGCCTCCTTATTCAGCTGGACAAAACATACTAAGAGCTAAAAATGACCTTCAAGTCAGCAAAATAATTCAGAATGCATTATTAAGTGAAGTAGGAAGGCTTGAGGCCCAGGGCAGCTCTCACTTGACACTGGGTGACGTCCTCATGGGTGCTGTGTGAGGAAGAGCAAAGCAGAGGAATCCAGAGGGGACTGCTGGGTCCAGGACTCTGAGAGCAGAGTGAACTTTGGAGAGAGACATAAAACCAGCTAAAGCAAACATGAGTATGTGAGTCCTGGACAGCAGCTCTCCGGGGAAAGGCATCCCTGAGAGGGTGCTCTGTCACTGATGCCTGTCATGGGGAGCTGGGTCAGGAGCTAATGGCTAAGCTGGGCTTCTCATTCACTCTGGTTAGGAAGCTAAGGTTTTCATAAATACTTAACAGACAAGGTGTAGCTGCACAGCAGATGATTAAGTTATAAACCATGTAGAAGTCATGGCCAGATAACAGGTTAGGAGGTGGAAAGAGGGAGAAGTGGAGACAGACTGATGCTCTCATCTTCAGTGGAGGAGTTGGTAAATGGTGCTTGGTATTGATACATCAAGATTTGAAGTTTTTTTTTAAATTTTCTTAATTAAAAGGAGTTCAATGAAATGTCTAGAATAGACATCTATAAAGACAGATTAGTGGTTACCAGGGGCTTGAGGAAGGGGGAAATGAGAGTGACAGTGGAAGGGTGCAAAGTTTATTACTGGGGAGATAGTAACGCAACTCTGAATATTCTAAAACCATTTAACTGTATACTTTAAGTGGGTGAATTGTATGCAAATTGTGTCTCAACAAAGCTGTTACTTTTAAAAATGGTTAGAATAAATTTGGAAAATTAATTCCCTAAATAGGGTGGTTTTCCAGTGAGTAAAACTGACTCCTGCTGGGATGTGGGGTACTCCAGGGGCACCTGGGGTCACCTTCCACATCTATTCTAGGTGAATGGTGCAAACTTTTCTGTGGTTGACACCAGTGGGTACTTTTTTTTCTTTTGAGAAGTGTTCTCTTTTACAGGTCATGAGATTAGATAACCCTTCATGTTTCCAGTTTTGCCTTAATTACCAGGAAGATGACATACAAAATAACAAGTCACAATTACATTAGGCTAGGGTTTCCTGTCTCTAGTGCTGGTTCTGAGTAATTCCTGATTGTCCATCTCTGTTCAGTGATCTCACTGTGTGTGTTGCATTGTTATATAAGCTGTGTTGAGGCTTGTTTTAGAAATAGGGAACATATATTATAAATAATAACTGAAAAATTACGCCCATCCTGCTTTTTTTAGAAGGCTGTGTCTTAAATTTTTTTCCACTTCTAGCTGTTTTAAAGTGCTTGTTTCTCCTTTTTTTGATTTTTATTGAATCTTTCAAATAACAGTTCTGTTGAGATATAACTCACTGTACAGTTCACCCATAATTCAGTGGTTTTTAGTATATTCACAGAACCATGCAATCATCTTTGCAGTCACTTCCAGAGCATTTCATCCCCCTAAAGAAACTGCATACCCATTAGCAGTCACTCCCCTTTTCTTCTCAATCCACTCAGTCTTAGGGAACCACCCTGTGCTTTCTGTCTCTATAGATTTACCTAACCTGGACATTTCATGTAAATGGAATCATACAATATGTAGCCCTTTGTGCCTGGTTTCTTTCACTTAACATAACGTTTGAAAGTTCATCCATGTTGTAGATTCTGTCAGTATGTCATGCCTTTTTATTGCTGAGTATTTCACTATATGTATATACTACATTTTATCTCTTCATAAGTTGATAGAAATATGGGTTGTTTCCACTTTTTGACTATTGTGAATAATACTTTTGTGAACATTCATGTGCAGGGTTTCGAATGGAGGTATGTTTTCATTTCTCTTGGGTATATATTTAGGAGTGAGATTGCTATGCCGTATGGTAACTCAATGTTTAACCTTTTGTGGGACTTCCAGACTGTTTTCCAAATCAACCATTTTACATTCCCACCAGCAGTGTATGAGTGTTATAGTTATTCTGTATCCTTGTCAACACTTGTTATTATCTGTCTGTTTGCCTATAGTCATCCTAGTAGAGTAGATGTAAGGTTATCAGTCTTAACCTAAGAAACACATGTAGTATTCACAATAACTGAAAACTTTGTTAAGTGTGTGATAGATCCACTGTCCTCCTGTCAAGTAGAACCTCAGAAATTTGAGAATATATCATTTTCAGATCAAGCCAGGAAGCTATGTGATTTTATGATGCTCTTGTTTTTTCTTTTCTCTTGATTTGCAGGTGGTGGTTACCAATACAATTCCACATGAAATCCAGAAGCTCCAGTGCCCCAAAATTAAAACTGTGGATATCAGCATGATACTTTCAGAAGCCATTCGTCGGATTCATAATGGCGAGTCCATGTCCTACCTTTTTAGAAACATAGGTTTAGATGACTGAAACTTTCCTTTCTTAAAGCTCCAAGGGCCAAACTGGAAATGTAAAAATAGGTACCATGAGGGATCATACCTACTTTGGTGTATTTCACAGGGACTGTCTGTGTTTTGTTCCTTTCCTTTTGCCAATTCCTGTGAAAGTTGACCAACTTTTTATGTTGGGTTGGGAGTTTGTGAGTTTTTCAGGAAATTTTTATAAAAGAAAACTATGTTCCCCTCAAATAAAATAAGCTAATACCTGATTGTTTTTAGTTTAACTATTTAAAAAATAATTTGGAGTAAGATTTTTAAGCTCACAAACAGCCTTTTTTCCAAAGTTGCTAGAGCTCAAGTGCATAAAAAAGTTAATGATCTACTATATAATACCTATAGTTGAAAAGTCAAAAAGATTATACTGTTGAATCCAGTAAATGACATTTTTAGAAGTGATTTTTTTAGACAAGCATATGGAATAAGTAAGCGTTATTTATTTTCTGCAACAAAAGAAGGAATAAAAACTTAATTTGTGCATGTTTTTTTAATCTTTGTGTTTTGGCAGTTGTTTTATAACCAAAATAAAATGAAAGCTGAATATACATGCTGTGAATGTTGAAATGTTCATCAGCTTGCTGAGTTTTCTGCAGTTTCTCAGGGTGATACACTAGCCTCTTTAGGAATGTAATAGTGTCTGTTCTGTTTGTTCAGGACCCTGCACATTACTGATGCACAGTCATTTGACTGCAGCAAGAGAGGAATTTGAATCCCAGGCTGTGAGCCACGGGAGCAGGTCAGTGAGTTAGCTTGAGCTGCTCTCTGCATCTTGGAGTGGCATTGTTTTGCTACCTGTTCAATAGCACAGCCATTCTCAAAATAGAATGTACCACTGCATGCTCTGGAGGATGGAATCCTGGTGGGGGGTCACAAAGGACAAGTGATGTGATCCTTATTAGTGACAGGCATTTAAGTATTGTCTATCTTAGAGTTTTGAGTTCAGAACTCAAAACTTGTACCTTGGAGTTTATCAGACTGTTGAACACCAGGGTCCCATGAGTTATGCCAATGTCACATAATGGCAGTCCTAACTAATTTAGGGAGGGGAAAAATTAATATTTTCTCACAAAGAAAAACATTACTTTTTCTTCCAAAAAACCTGAAACCTTTGTTTTCTGCCTATCTGTGAAATCTGGAATGAAGCAGCAGTTGATGTAGCACAAAATTAAGATTAGTCACTAACTGTTTGCCATGTTAGGGTGTCCTGTTGCTCCCAAGAAATCAGTCTGACTTTTGGGGGCCTGTCCTGTAGAAGACGTGGGGCCCTGCATGTGCAGAAACACTGAAGCCCCCACTTCTGGCAGCTGTCCCAGGTACTATATGGTGTCCTGTACATCTTCTCTGTGCTCATCACAACCAGCAATGTCCAGCCCCCCTTCCTGACATGATGCTTCAGCCAAACACCCCATGATGGTTATTCTGTTACATGTGTATGAAAGTAACACATGTTAATTATTTTAAGTAATTCACATTGGTGTTAGAGTTACAGTCTAATCATGTGTAAATATGGCACATTACTCTTGTTTAGAGACATGCAAGCTTAAAATAAGCTCTCTCCTTTATGCTTTGTGAGCATGGTTTTCTTTAGGAAACACTTGAAAGCAACTAAGTTTTCCTTTTACTTCAAAAAGAATAAGCTGGCAGATGTCAGCAAGGATGGTGGAATGGGGAACTCTCAAAGTCTGTCCCTCCATACAAGCAGAGAAAAATTGGCAAAAACTGTCAGAATGAATGAAGAAATCTTAAGCTTAACCCTCTGGGAATCTTCTTGCTGATCCTCAGCACAGAGACAACCTACAACAAAACAAACAAATTACTGGGGAAGAGAGAGAAACAAATTTATAGGGTTACACATTAGAGTCAAAAGTCCAGTTTTTAACCAAAAAATCACAAAGGCATACAAACAAACAGGAAAGTATGATCCATTCAAAGGGGAAAAAATCAGAAATGATCCCTGAAAAAGACCTGATCTACTAGACAGCCTTAAAGCAACTGTCTTAAGGATGCTCAAAGAACTAAGGGAAGGTGTGGAGAACAAGAACACTATGTGTGATCAAAATGGAAATACCAATAAACAGAAAACAAAAAAGTTCATAAAAGTACAGTAACTAAATTGAAAGATTCATTAGGGGGATTCTAAGGCAGATTTGAACAAGTAGGAGAAAAAATCAACAAACATTGAAGATAGGACAATAGAACTAAGGTTGAGGAACAGAAAGAAAAATGGAAAAGCAAATAGAGCCTAAGGGAGTTGTGAGACTCAGTCAAGCAGACCAGCATACATGTGGGAGATCTGGAAAAGAAGGAGAAAAGGGGCAGAGAGAATATTTGAATAAACAATGGCCAAAAACTTCACAATTTTATGAGACCAGAACAGAAACATTCAAGAAGCTCAAAAAACTCTGAGACAGATGAATACAAGGATACCCACACCAAGACACATTATAATCACACACAAGTCAGACAAAGATCTTGAAAGCAGCAAGACAGGAGTGATACATTGAATACAAGGGATTCTCAATAAGATTATCAGCAGGTTTCCCATAGAAACTTTGGAGGTCAGAGGCAATGGCCTGAAACATTCAAGTGCTAAAAGAAAAAACTCAACCAAGAGTCCTATATCCAGTAAAATTGTCCTTCAAAAGTGAGGGAGAAATTCCCAGATAAACAAAAGCTGAGGGAATTCATTTATACTAGACGTGCTCTGCAAGAAATTCTCAAGGCCTGCAGAGGAAAGGAAGGGATACTAAATAGTAACCCTTCCTTTAATACTAGAAAGCCATATGAAGAAATAAAGATCTCAATAAAGATTGAATACAAGGGTAATTATAAAAGCAATTATTATTGTAATGATGGCTTCTAACTCCATTTTTTAAAGTTATTAGACTAAACCTAGTATTGTAACATTGTGTAACTTCACTTTTTGTTTTCTACATAATCCTAGAGATTTGAAAGATTGTTTGTTTTTGGGAAGACTAGATAAAGATTTAATTTTGTGATAACAACTGAAAAGAGTAGAGATAAGAGCTGTTAAACAGAATTTTTGTATGTTACTGAAGTTAAGCTGGTATAAATTCAAATTAGTTATAACCTTAAGATATTAAATCCCAATGGTAAATACACACACACACACACACACACACACACACCAAAGGAAGTGGGAAATGAATTTAAATGTTTCACTACAAAAAATAAACTGAGCACAAAAGAAAATAATGCAGAAAATCAGGGAGAAAAATTCCATAAGGCCTACAGAAAAACAAATAGCAAAATGACAGAAGTCAGTCCTTCCTTACCAGTAAATGGTTTAAATGTAAATTGATGAGACTCCAATTAAAAGGTTGGCAGAATAAAAACATAATCCAACAATATGCTGTCTACATAAGCCTTACTTTAGATCCAAAGACACAAATAGATTGAATGTGAAAGGATGGAAAAAAATATTCCATGGAAATAGTAACTGAAAGAGAGTAGGGGTAGCTGAAGTAATATTGGATAGAATAATTATTATTATTATTAAAAAAGAATGAAATAAAATTTAAGACAAAAATTGCTATGAGACAACAAAATGCATGTTATTCGTAAAAGTTTCAATAAAACCAGGAGACATAACTGATAAAAGTTCATGTGCCTAATAACAGACTATCAAAATATGTGAAGCAAAAACAGAATTAAAGGGACAAGTGGAGGATTCTGCAACAATAATTGGATACTTCTACACCCCACTTTTGGGAACAAACCAACACATTTTATAGAACCAATTAATGAAGAAATCATGAAGGAAATTATAAAATACTTAGAGATGTATAAAAAATGAAATTACAACATACCAGACTTATGGGAAACAGTGAAAGCACTGAGTGCTAAGGGGTAAGTTTATTACAATAAACTCTTACATGTAAAAAAAGAAAGACCTCAAATGTAAAATCAACAAGCTAACCTTATAACTTAAGGAACTAGAGAAAGAACAAACCCTAAGTTACAGAAGGAAGAAAGTAATAAAGATTAGGGCAGATATAAACAAATTAGAAAATAGAAGAACAGAAAATAACTGAAACCAAAAGTTGATTATTTGAAAACATCAACAAAATTGACAAATCTTTAGATAATGGTCTAAGGGGAAAAATAAAAGTTACTAAAATCAGAAAAAAAGGGGACCCTATTATTAATTGATTCTAAGAAAATAAGGATTATAAGAGTACTATGAAAAACTGTGCACCAAAAAACTGGATAACCTAAAGGAAATGGGCAAATTTCTAGAAACAAAACTAACCAAGACCAAATCACAAAGAAATAGGAAATCTGAGTACACCTATAACTAATAATATTGAATCAGTAATAAAAATCTAAAAAAAAAATTCCGGGATCTGATGGCTTCACTGTTGAATCCTACCAAACAATTAAAGAACTAATGCCAATCCTCAAACTTTTCCAAAAAGAAGGAAGGGGGAGGCATGTTCCTTAACTCACTCTATGAGGCCAGCATTACCTGATACCAAAGCCAGACAAAAATTCTGTAAGAAAACTACAGATCAATATCCCTTACGAATATTCATGTAAAAATCATCAACAACATACTAGAAAACTGATTTTCAACACTGCACTAAAAAGATTAACACTAAAATTTATTCCTGGAATTCAAGATATTTCAACATATGAAAACTGATCAATGTAATACACCATATTAACAAAATGAAGGAAAATAAGCACATGATCATCTCAATTGATGCAGAGAAAGTATTTGACAAATCCAATATGCTTTCATGATTTAAAAAAAACAAGACTAAGAATATAAGGAAAATACCATAACATAACAACAGCCATTATCTGTAAAATCCACAGTGAATATCATACTTAATGGTGATGGACTGAAAACTTTTCTTCTAAGATTAAGAACAAGGAAAGAATGCCCACTTTTGCCACTTCTATTAAATTTAGTAGTGGAAGAAAAATAACTAAAAGCCATCCAAATTGGAAAAGAAGTAAAATGATCTGTTTACAGCTGATGTGATGTTATATGTAGAAAACTCTAAAGATTCCACACCCAAAAATCAAACTCTTAGAACTAAAAATTAATTTAGGAAAATAAAAGAACAGATCACCACCACACAAAAATCAGTTGCATTTTTATACATGAACAATCAGCCTGAAAATGAAATTAAGAAAACAATTTCAGTTACAGTAGCATCAAAAAGAATAAAATACTTAGAAATTAACCAAAGAGGTGAAAGATGTACAATGAAAACTAAACATTACAGAAAGAAATTAGGAAAGACAAAATGGGAATACACCCTTTGTCCCTGAATTGGAATAATTAATATTGTTAAAATGTCAATACTACCTAGTGTAATTTACAGATTCTGTGCAATCTCTACTAAAATCCCAGTGACACTTTTTGCAGCATTATTTATGATAGCCAAGATATGGCTATGAAGAAGGGCTGAAGAAACCTGTGTCTATCAATAGAATAATGGATAAAGATATATGTATGTACAATTTATATATATTTTATATAACATAATATATAAAATGTTATATATTACATATATATATAAATTATATATATAA